TTCGAATTTTGCTCTCTCTAATTAAAATTGATAATTTTAAAAATTCTAGAATACCTTAAAGAGAATGGCCTCGATATGTTCGAACTTCTATTAGGAGCGACATCATATTCTGGTGTCCTTAGCTGATCCCTGATCAAATACAAAAGAATATTTTTAGCAGATAAACCTACAGTAATGCATTCTGCATTTATCAGTTATGACATTTTCAAGTGTTTGGATAATAAATCCTAATGTAAACAATTTCTTTTTCACAGGAGTGTACCAAACATTTACAAGCGTGCCAATATTTAACCGTAATATAAATAAATAAATCATTATTAATTTATCATTCCGTAACAACATAATTAAGATAAATTACAGATGTGGTCAATTATTATTAACAAGTTTGAGTGTGATATGATGTAAGTAATTCATAAAATTATTAAATACATAGTAACAATTCTATTGCATGTAGTCGATATTCCAAACAATTTGTTATACCTAACAGGAGAATAAAATGTATTTTAGCTCAATAATAATTTAGTAATAAACATGTTTATTTTTCATTACAAAAAGGACTGAAAATAAGCTCAAAGTTAATTAAAAATAGCCTTAAAATGTTCATATACATATAATGTCGTCCAAATATGGCTAGATTATAAACTATTTATTTTCTGAAAATTTGAAGTTTTTTGCGTCTGTATAGGTATACATATAAACCGAAAATCAAAAGTTTTTGCTAAATCCATTTTAACTTACAGTAATATTGTCCGTTTAGCCTTTTTCATATGGTAAAAATTAGACTATTAAACGAACCTAATCATCTAAAAAAAATTACTAAAACATATACAATATTAAAATTAATGAGTAAACATGTATATATTTTGAAATGATTTAGTGCACTTTTATCTTAAAAATAAAATAATAAGTATTCGTTTAAAAAACTCAAACAAAATAGTTTGTATTTAGACAGAAATTGAGTGAATGAAACAGTTACTTCACAATACCAAAAACCTTAAGGGCAGGTACGTTATATACATTTGATATTAAAAAACAGGTAGTTGATTATGAATTAAAATGATCTTTCACATTACACATCAAGTAATTCTTTTGATATTTGAATATACAATTAGGAACGATAAAATAATTGATGTATTCCCCTGTGTGTTATTCAGTAATGGCCTAATTAAAAGAGAAGTTAATAAATCATTTCTTACAAATAGACATTATAATAAACAAGTTTCGTACACTATCATAAAAAGCAATTTTCTTTTACATCGGTTTTCATTGAGCTTGGCTATTGATTTTACTAAGTTTTTAGCGCTGACCTAGAAACGTTGCTGTGTAGGCAAGAGAACCCTTAAAAATTCATTATTGCTTTCAAGGGTAAGTGTTCTTGTCAGGAAAAGGGGTAAAAAGTGTCCACCAAGTTAAAAATTCTGTTCGGTTTTTAGTAACTTTTGACACACTTCTTTTACGCTTTTTTACCTATCCACACTATACATTCTACGTAATTCGCATACCTACTTTAAGTGACCTATTTTTTGAACCCTTGCTTTACATTTACCTACCAAAATCTCATTCTAAATTAGGTGCTTGAAGACAAAACCAAATATACATATAGGATTTTAGATTTTAGATATTTAACACTTAAAAACTATACGACACAAAATTTAGTGGTGAAAGATTCAGTTTTAAATCTATTCAAGAATCTGAAATTTGTTAGAATGCCAAATAAAACAATAAAATGTGATGTGCAATTAAATATTATCAAATGTTAGAATTAGATACGTAAGTATCATTCAGACTGTTTCCTAAACATATGGCAAAAATTCAGGGGGTGTTTTCTAAGGTATTGTTTTGAAGAAAAGTTCCTATAAGCACTTTTCGAAAAATGATTCCTAAGGGACTACACCCCTTCAAATTGGCCACCCTGAACACGATTTTTCCTCAATATTTTCGAAACCATTCATACTGGAATTCTGAAATTTGGTATACTGTAAAAATTTTTAACGCTAAATTAACACCTGAGTTCGTAATTTAAAATCTTAATCACAGTACCATACTGAATGAGTTAAGGGTAAAAGTAATCTAATTTTTTAATATACAAGTAAGTAGTGTCGAATAATTCTACCAATGAAAATTGTATTGGGATTTGTCGTTTGTCCTAATTTGTATTAAATACTGATTACTAAACTAAATTATTTGTTAAAGAAATTATTTGTTATTTCGATATAGTTCTTATGTTTACTGTTTCTCGTGAACAAGAATACATTATTATGGCCGATCTGTTACAATTTCTGTCGTTTGTTTTCAGGTTTTGATTAACGATAACTTATTAGTATGATTTTGCCATCTTGCAGACATTTAGTATTTATAAACATTATAGGCTCGGCAAGCTTCTCGTTGAAAATCCGTCAACCAAGAATAAAAATTTCATTCGTTTCGTGTTTAAACGACTTTTTGAACGGGACTTATTGTAGTTTGAGACGTTAACGAGGGTAGTTTTTAATGGAAAGCCCACCAAAATGAAGACATGAACTATTAACCGTAGTGGTTTTGCCGGGTACCCAGTGCATCCATACAAATAAGCAATTTAAAAATATATTTAATTTTTTGTGAGTTTGATAGTTTCTAAGAATGTAATCAGTGGCTCTATGACATTTGGTGCCCTTAGGCAAATTTTAAGTAACTGCCACTTTAAGAGCAGAGTATTCCAAACATTTTGATATAAATTAATTTAAGATATTTTATTTATAAGCATCTCAAAGGAGAAAGTCTTTTTTGTATAATTGTTGAACTTCAATTTCAATTAAAACTGAAGAACGTCAATACTAATGTTAAATTAATTTATTATGAAGAGCAAACTTTTTTTATNTAGAAGCAAGTATATAAAATAACTGAGTGAATCTGTGTATTGTGTATTTTACAGGTTTTGACTTTCTTGGCTCCGAGAACAAGTCCCTCCCATTTTTGTTAACAACTTTTCAAATTTCGTTCGCAAAAATGAGAGATTTTCTTGGACACTTGTAGCTCAAATCAGGTAACAGTTTCACCGTTGACATTTTTATTCCTATACAACGTATCAGAAAGGCAAACAGCTTATCCCATATGTATTTAGGTATAATAATAATCTTACAATTAAGCGTTTTTCATTGATCAATTCACAAACAGGGAGAAAACAGGAAGTTAAAGTAATCGACCAAACGATAATAAATAATTCTAGATTGATGAACAGAATTTTTCTTGCAAATGATTTTCATTTCTGTGGCGTTGCCGAGAATATGAATTAAGGATCTAAATTGTGCGCCTGTTTCAATATTTTATTACGTTTCAATTTAATTTTGATGGTATTTGTAAGTATTAATTGCCATTGGCATTATTCAGTTTTTAATTGCCTTCCCCTGTAATTAATAAAATCTATATCTATCACAAAATACCTAACATCATAGCGTGGAATTCAATAAAAGCACAAACTCCTATTTTACGCCTTTGGAGACTGTCTTTTGAAAACTCATTTTATAGTGGACGATACCGATGCATAAGGAAACTTTGTGCAAAATTTCAGGCTTTGGGCTGTCCTTCGATCAATGAGTCAAACATTGAACCCTCCTTTTTGATCTCCTTTATGGATTGAACTTTAAAAATCCTTTCTTAGTGCTCTAGACTAGAAAGTATAGGAAGCGTCTGTACAAAATTTTAAGTCTTTAGACCCCGTGGGGTTTCGCCTGTGTGTTGAAGTATCAGTCAATCTGGTTATCCTTTTATATGTATAAATATGCATGTAGAAACACTTACCTACCATGTAAATAATCTCTCCTATTTTCAGCAAAATCCTTTCTTGTATTCGCCACCACTAATCACATCTAAATTAATTATCTATTATTTATTGTTTACATTTATTATACACTCCTCAATACCACACATTTTACACAAGTTTCACGAACACACTTCTTTGCAAGATTAAATGTGACTGCTTTGATAGAGGACGAAATACTTTGTTTATCGCAAACGTTTTTTGCCTGTTTGTTTTGTAGAGGTTCTGTCCGGACTTTATCTGCCTTTAGGTTTATGCTATAAAAACCTGCAATTGTATTATTCTTTCACCACAAGAGAAACGACGTTATAAACTTTGTCTTGGATTAATTTTACTAATAATTTTATTTAAACAAAAAAGGGACTTCAGAATGACTCTAAAAAGTTAAAAGATATTTTTTATTAGACGCTCTTGCTTCCTAATTCCAAAAGCTAATTAATTTCAATGTTCTACATATAGGTGTAAGAACTATCATGAAAATATTATTAACAATTAGAAATTAGCTCACAAAGATATACAGGACACATAAAAAGAAGGGTAATTGCTGTAAAAAACATTCCCATTTTATTTTTTTTTAGTTTGAATTTATTTTTATTTGAAAATTTTGTTAATTGTAAAGTTTAATGTGGGAAGGGGGGTAGCGTAGGTGGAAAAAGGATTTAGATTTAATCTAAATGGAATAATTTAGTTACCTATAAATAATGAAAAATGTTTGTCTTACCTGTAGAAGAAACGCTAAAAGTTGTTCACTGAAAAGTGCGCGCAAAGTAAGGAAAAATGAAAGGAGAAAAATTGAAAGTTGAGTTTTTTAATGCACAAACATTTTAATATAAACTTAAAAATCGTACAACAATATGAAAAATTATAGGCTATTATACACATATTTTGTTTTATAACGGGATGGAAATACCGTTCTCACTATTTATTATGATATAAGAGACTACCAAGTAGTACAAATATTTGAGAAGTTCGTAACATGCTAACACAGATAATGAACGACATACACACTTAAAGACTTTTTCGTCCTTAGGTCTTGTTCTGAATTTTTTAATGCAGACAAGACGTCAGTGTTTTCGTTATTATTATTATTATTATTTGAACTACGTCTTCTACTTCTATTAACAATAAAAGATAAATCACATTTTCTTTGGGGGTCAGAATCCCTTTAGTATGTTTATACAGGTACAAGTGGCCATAATCCTCAACTTTGCTACAAAACTTTTCACTTTAACGAGTCAAACCTGACTCTCTAGCACCACATTAGCAACAAACCTATGTATTTTGCTTAACGTTATCATCGTCTACGAAGATTCCCTATAGCGATTACATGAGACTTTTTAATTCACTAGACCCTACATCTCCCTACATATTTCCTAGACATGCAAACATGTGGATAATTAATTATTATTATTATTATTATTATATGTAATTATTTACAAGATCGTAAAATGCAAGATTACCTAGAAGCAAGTATATAAAATAACTGAGTGAATCTGTGTATTGTGTATTTTACAGGTTTTGACTTTCTTGGCTCCGAGAACAAGTCCCTCCCATTTTTGTTAACAACTTTTCAAATTTCGTTCGCAAAAATGAGAGATTTTCTTGGACACTTGTAGCTCAAATCAGGTAACAGTTTCACCGTTGACATTTTTATTCCTATACAACGTATCAGAAAGGCAAACAGCTTATCCCATATGTATTTAGGTATAATAATAATCTTACAATTAAGCGTTTTTCATTGATCAATTCACAAACAGGGAGAAAACAGGAAGTTAAAGTAATCGACCAAACGATAATAAATAATTTAAAAAAATGTAAAAAAAACTAACGACTCAAAAATATGTTCAATTAAATTACTTTAAATTAATAAATAGGATTAAGTTGTAAATGAAAATTTTACGAAATTGAGCGAGGGTAGTTAGTGTGGTATAAATATATATATATAGTTCTGAAAATCGGATCACGAGGCAAGTGAAAAAATAACAATTTATAACGTTAAAATTAAATGGCATTTAGTGATTTTTGAAATAATGAAAGTGTTTTAAGAAACTTTTGTTGAAAAAATCGACTTCTATTAATTATATTTACGGTTCAGAAAATTTAAAAACTGAAATAACTTTGTAACATTGTAATTAATAAACATAAAAGTTCGTTTATGTTTTAAACATTTTATTGAAGTTGTCGTAAGAAGTATCACATTTTAGTTATCCACAATCATAATATGAAAACGTTTCAGAACTTATTTTCGATTCTGAACGATATTTATTTCTGTACACAGCGATTCGATCACGAAAACGAATTATAGAAAAATAAAAAATAAAAAGAAGGTAGGTACATTGTAGGGCTCGGAATTGTTCTCTATTTGAATATCCGTAATTCAAATATTTTGAAATAAAATATTTAGATATTCAAAAGTTTAAATATCCAACTGAATATTCAAAATTTAAAATATTTGGATATTCAAATAGATTGATACTCCAATTTAAATGTAAAGGTGTTTCCGTGGTTGACATGCTTGAGGAATTGAATTTTTTTCAATTTTGAATGCTTAAATCATCATTTGAGATATTCAGATATATTTGATTGAATGTTTGAATATTCAAATATTTGATTTATTAAATATTTCATTGTTTAAATATATGAATATTTACAAATATTCCAATATCGAAAAATTTGGATATTCAAAACAAATACTTGAATACTTAAATACGAAAAATTCCGACCCTTGGTACAGAGACAGGTTGTGCTGAAATTGAAATTCTCTTATTCTGTACATGCAGACAGTTTACTGGCTATCATAATTTTTTTTGTTTAAACGGTTACGCAATGGTATCTTTGGCTGCTGATTGTATTTTTAGACGGATGGACCTGTGCCTTTTGTGTCTGCAGACTTGCGAAAGGAAAACGTAGTAAAAGGACAATCATATTCATATGCAAACTCATGCAGTTTGTTCATGCCGTACAAGAGTCGATTTGTGTCAGGTACGCAGGCAAAAATGACAGCAATCAAACCAGTAGCATTTAACAAAATATATATATTGTATGAAATTCAACAATCTGTACAAATAATAATAAAAACGGAGACAAGTGAAAAAATAAACTAAGAAAACTAAGCATTTAAAAATAGTTGCTCATAATGAGGAAGCATCTAGGAACCCTCGTGTATCTTTCATGCAAATACTGGCTAAACTAAACAGTAGAAAGGGCCGACGACGGAGCGGTTTTTTGGCCCCCGTGATATGCAATTAAATATTAGTAAATGTTATAATAACAATCTCTGGGACTAGATGACAGCTTGAGCTTCTTTCATACAAAAATAAAAAATACAAACTTTATAAAAAATTTAGAAAACACATTATTCTACTAGAATACTGTAAACACCATATACAAAGTAAGAAACGTCTACTCTAAGTCTTAATTTTTATAAAAAAGCTGGGACTTGTACTCAAGACTAACGCTCTCTTTAGTAACGAAGTGGAACACTTGTGACTAGTTTTACTCATCTCAGTTTTACAAACTCAATTTTAATCCGTTCGGGTCACTTAATAACGAAAACTATAAGTACGATTAAGCATCATATGTGTTACCATTAAAGATCCAAATGAAGATAAATTTTAAGAGTTTTGAAGGTAATTTTGTAAAAACATCAACGTCCAAATGATATTTTAAATTAAGCAATAACACGAACTAACACAACAGTTGTTGACAACAAAAAATAAAGTTCATGTGACCCACACTTTTATAAAATCAAATAACTTAATGTAAGTCAGCTTAAACTAGATTAAATGTGGGCGTTTAAATTCAGTTCTAACTGCAACCGGCAGAAACCAAATCCAGATTTATTAACACTTTTTTACTTTTTTTAATCGGGTTATCAAAATTTAGAATTTTAACAGCAACATTTCAAACCAGGAGTCGACTCGGTGGTGTAGACAGACATCCGACTATAACAGGATAAATAGTATTTGCCTTACCTTACTCGAGAGAGGTTTTAGTCTTGGGCAGAAAGGAAAATAGGTGTGTCCTTAGCGTGCTCGTCACTGATCACAATAGTAGAGACGAGAACACGTGTTCTACAATATAGGTTTTACGAGAGACCTCAGTTGGCCACCAGAAGATGTTGATATTGGCCTGCCGTTGGATAGGGCCAGTTGTCGAGCAATTTGCTGGTGTCTTGAGGGGTACCAGGTGTTGTTGGAGGCGCATTCACAGGACCGTTGTTGGGATAGAAGGGACCCAAAGGACCAGCTGCATGTTCGAATGCTAACTTACCAGGGTACAAATCGGCGCTCAGGAACTGATTGGAAGACTCGAACATGGAACGATGAGGAAACTGGGGAGCGTACGGATTGTGTGAGAAATAATAAGCAGACGGGTCAGGGGAAAGGGCACGGCTGTTGGGCGAGTGATGTGCAGCGTGCTGCTGCATTGCACGCTGTTTTATGTAGTTTGAAAACTCGGTGGGAGACATTCTGGAACAATGGAAAACACATGATAGGACCTTTCTAAAGTAGGATGAATATCTTGAAAAAATTTTGGTCGATGTTTTTACTATTTTAACAACATGAAAAAGATAAGGAAAGAACTTCACTAAAGGTCGATTAAAATGACATCCCTTTCCTTATCCCTTTCATAATTGTTCACACAATTCCATGTATTTATGTATTTAAATAAAACCTTTAAAGGAAAGATTGCCTAAAAATTGTAAATTATCTTACATGTGCACTAAATACTGCATTACTGCAGGTTCTAAGAAGGAAGTATTCGAATTTTGCTCTCTCTAATTAAAATTGATAATTTTAAAAATTCTAGAATACCTTAAAGAGAATGGCCTCGATATGTTCGAACTTCTATTAGGAGCGACATCATATTCTGGTGTCCTTAGCTGATCCCTGATCAAATACAAAAGAATATTTTTAGCAGATAAACCTACAGTAATGCATTCTGCATTTATCAGTTATGACATTTTCAAGTGTTTGGATAATAAATCCTAATGTAAACAATTTCTTTTTCACAGGAGTGTACCAAACATTTACAAGCGTGCCAATATTTAACCGTAATATAAATAAATAAATCATTATTAATTTATCATTCCGTAACAACTGCGTACGTACTAAGAATGTTTTTTGTGGGAAATTAAACTCCCTACAAAATACTGTCACGAGAACTAAGGAAAAACAATTTTTAGAAGCTATTCTCCATACGTTTGAATGAAAACGTTATTTTTTTCATGTTAAATGAATGGAAAACACAGAAAATTTAAAGAAAATTTTCTCAAGATATGATACTAAAACATTAGCCATCCAATTTTACTGTTTTAGATATGCCATTTTGACGGTTGCAGTAGGGCTCTAGGGGTGCCGAATTACTATATCAATAGCATACGATCAACCGACTGGCTGCTTTCCCAAGTAAACAAAAGTGAAAGAGTAATCCAAAATTGTTGAGAATGGGTTAGCTTTTAAATATGTATAATAAACGTCTTTTATTACATGTGCTTCTCAGTACGATCCTACAGGATCAGTGAAGGTCTCAATGTTCAGGCAGTTCAAAATTATACATGCAGATTTTAACTCTGCTTACATACAACCCCTTACTCTCTCAACGCCCGCTGTGCGTAACACCTTAATTTTTTAGGAATCTCGATATTCTGCCTTTCATAAAATTATTGGACATAAACAAACACTGAATATATTTACTTCGATTAAATACTATTCTATGTTACATCCTCGAAATAGTATCTAAAATTCAAAGTAATTACCAAACTACCCTATAGTTACGTAATTCCAACTTTAAATTTAAGAGACGACGTACACCCTCCTATGCTGCGCGCGTGACTGACTCAGGAATGCAATGTGTGCTGTTATAAAGTTCTCTTTACCACCGGATTGGCTACTGCTTCTCGCGGCAATTTAATAACCAATAAGAAATTAAGTCAAATAACACCTGCTACAACAAAAGGGATTCCCTCTGGTATGCGGATGTAAACAATTTCATTGTCTTAGGCGCCATGAGATTTATTTTTTAAGCAGCAAAACTTCAGCATGGAATAACTCCGTCATTTTCGGATGAATTTTTATGCGGTTTTCACCAAAATTTAAAAAATCTATCATAGAACGATTACTTAAGCACCAATATTTAGAAAATCTATCACAAAACAGTTACTTCCGAAGTTAGCTATTCATTTAAAATTATTCCATCAAAAAAATCTCATAATAGTTAAAACAATACCACCAAATTTACCTTTTTCGTATAATTCAAAGTTGTGTTACCAACTCTAGTTTTACTAATTGTGTTTATGAATATGCAGTTAATTTAGCAAAAAAAAAAAGGTAAAAATTGGGAGACTGCAATAGTATTTTTCTCGAAATGTTTATTCACTCCTGTGTTAGAGAAGATTGAGTTTTCTGTATTTTTTAAGGTCTGACGCCTAATATGAACCAATAAAAAATAGAAATCAAAGTAAATATTTATAAATAATTCTTACCTGTTTGCTCTCTTGCAGCTGGTCTTAAGCTTGGTACTTCCAAATTTGGTTTGGGCAAAGGTGGCGGTAGTAAAAGTAAGTGGGGTAGTGGTGCGAGGGATGAAGGATGGAATGGGGGACGGTGATCCTTTGTATGATGTGTTGGCGGCGACGGCAGTGGGAGAGGGTGCTGACGACCTCGAAAGGTGGTTGCCTACAATACTCTGTCCAGCACCACCGCCCACGACAGTCGTCCCCGGCTGGGGTCCCGACGTGACGACCTGTGATCCCACGGGCATCGGTTGTGCAGAGAACGGCGACGTCTTCGGGGAGAGACTCAAATTGCTGAGACTCGAGCTCACCGAATCAATGGGCTTGAAGCATTGCGCTTCGGGATTAAATGTTTTGGTCACCTCCCGGTCAGCAGAGGATTCGTCTTGGGGATCGCCCTTCTCACTGAAGAGTACCTGCAACAAGCAAAACGCCATGGTCTAGAAATAAACACTTTTAAAGGCGTCTGTGTTTGAGATATTTAGAGAAAAAAGGGCTTGACATTCAAATGTTTGAAAAGTTATAATTGCTGGGTGGCTAACTCTAGGGGGACCTCGCACTATTCCCAAAAGAAAAGCGTACGAGTCAATGGAATTTACTTAGTCATCTGGAACTGTGAGATTTCCAACCAAAGGACTTGTATTCAGAAACTTATTTTATATAAAGATTCTCAATCATTTAATTCTGCTTAATGTTTTGCGGAGTTCAACTTATTAGCGTTGTGTCTAATAGCCGAAATGTGAAAAGGGCCTTGACAAACGGATTTCGCCGACGTCGACGTTTTTGAATTTGAGAAAGGGTAAATATACAGTTAAGATTTAAGCAGATATCTTTTTGTATTAATGTAAAGGAAAAAGTAATCGCTTATTCGTTTGTGGTTCCGAAGGGAAAAACAAAATACTGTCAATTTCTGTCCATTATCACCTAAGATTTAGGGGATTGTACCGCTCCATTTATTTTACCATCTTCATCACAGGGTTGTCAGTCTTAAGACTGGTTGGACATGCACCTTCACTCTTTCATATCCTGAACTAATCGTTGCATTTCCTTAAAACTAGAATAACCTACATCCTTAACTATTTGTGAACAGCAATCTAATCTAGGGCATCCTTTTAACTCCTTTTAACTGAAAAAGTGTCTTACTAATCTATCTCGCCAATTTCTTATTGGCTTCCATAGCGTTCTCAAGTTCTATTACTCTTTCTAATTTATTTTATAATAGACATTAAATAAAGAATACGTAAGAATGTTTTTGATAAGGTAAAATTAATTTGACGCAAGCGGGCCGAGCACGCATTTGTTCAGTTTTTTCTTATTTGTTTCTGCACGTTTCTAGTTTATGTAATACTTTGTGGATGATCCCGTGGTTTAATGTGTTTCGCAATTTACGAATTTTGGGATCTAACCGCAACAGGAGTTAGCATCAGTGAAATTATTTCGTAGCGTGTCCAATTGTGATTGGTAAGCCTAACTAATAACTTATAAACAGCAATAATGAATTTTCGCCTGTAATTAAATTATTGTTTATCCCAGCTTTACATTTATAATGATCAGTTACACCGATTTCACAATTAGAAAAAGATTCTAGCTAATGAGAGTTTTTACTTTTACTATTCGAGAAAATTTTTTTGTCGATTCAGCAATTTTAACAGTGTGACAAGCATCAGATTATGTAATTTTACTTTCGATTTTCTGCCCCTGTATTCTTTTAATGAATAGATGTTTACAGTAATAGTTACTAAATAGATAAGTTTCGTATTCCATTACTATGTGTAGGTAATTTTTAAAGGTAATTAAAAAAGTTATTGTTTTATTAGCGTTTCAAATTACGCAGGTAATAATTTATTTATCAGTAAAAGAAACGTTAAGATGTTTGACATTTGTTACAATTAGCAATTAATCAATTAAAACATCAATACAATATCTGGTTGTAAAATTTTTCCAAATATTTTATAAACTACGACGATTTATTGCAGCTTTTGTTTAGGCTATAGCCTTGAAAATAACTAGGGAGTCAAAAAATAATAGGGGAATATTATGATTTATTACAGGCGAATTATAGCCAACCAAGTTTATCGATAAAAAATGTCATAGTCAAGTGCAGATAAACCGGAAATTGTTTGGAAGTCAGATATAAACGATATAGATAATGCAACGACATATACAAGTGTAACTATTAATTACGAGAAGAAAATTCGAGTTATAGTATATTTTTAACTACTACACAACCCTTGCTGTAGTATTTCTGTAATATAATTACGAAAATTTCTATTTGTATTTAGCTCTTTTGAACATGACTCATGATGAGCTAAGATAATATCTTCAAGGATCTAGGTAATACTTTAATTTTGGCCTTTCCATTGAAGTTCCAGACCAAAAACGTTCCAAAACCTTTTTCATCAATTTCCGGTACATTCTACTTAATAGAATTAGGTATTAGAAGGTGGGGGAGAAAGTTTTTTATGAAAAAAGAAATTTTCGAATGATAATTTTTCAAAATTACTCCAAATACGTCATTGTTTGGTAAGGTAGATTTATGACAGATTGGACTTTATTCAATTTATATTATAAATCGATGAAAAAATTTTTGGGGTGATTTTGGTCTTAAGTCCCCATTCTTGCCAATTACCTCTTTTCGAGATGCGTAACAGTAAACATCGGAATTTAATGAACAAAATATGCGGTTCTTACCTTAACGGCTCCTTTTTCGCCAATGCGATAGCTGACCTCTCCGGGATCGACCCAAACGGCAAGATCTTGCGGCAAGTTTTCCAAAATATCCTGAATAGGGACACCGCTTTCACGGGCTGCCCTTTCCAACACCTTGTCGACGGGATCGCCTGTTTTGATACATCTGAACGCCGAGCCCTTGAACGGTTTCTCTGGATACCAGTGTCCCTGGAATTTGTCTTTTAAGGCTTTCTCAAGCTCCTCGCCGAAAATGTTCACCCTGCGACGGGGTAGCTTGTTATACAGGTACGAAATGACGAAGTTCAAAGCTACTTGTACTTCTATATGCATTTTTTCTTTTTATAATTATTATTCTTTTTTTATATAATTATCTATACGATTCGAAGCTGAAGACTATAATCAGTTGGTAAGCATTGATTTTATTTCAACCAAGGAATGATGGATACGAAAGATTTTGACAACGTTGTTTTACGCTTTCGCTAACCGTGATGAACTCTTTGTTACCTGAAACAAAGGGAAAAGAATGTTACGATCTTCATCATATACGTAAACAAGGTGTAAGAGATATAAATGCCTTTTTCCAGAGGGTGTAAACTAAATCGCACCGAAAATCACAATAATTTACAATCGAAAGCCGGTCCTGTGCGTGAATTGGCAACATAGGTGTCTGCCGAATAGTGTAGTGCGATAAAAATTCTGCAGCTACATCGATGGAGAATGTAAACATTACCGATAATTCAACGTATTTCTGTTACACTTTGTATAACTGATTAAATAAATTGAGTATACCGAATAATTGCCGTAAAAGTAACGTGGAGCAAACACAAACAGTAAACACTGATTGGTTTCAAAAAAACTCTATTCATGATTCCTACCTAGTGTACATATAATTTTAATTTGAAACTAAATACATAGATAAATATGTATCTCACTGAAAGCAAACTGCGTCACTTCCTGCATTGTACCTGCCATATATGTTATGTTATCATATCATATCCTTATCTTTTACGTGGCAACAAACCACTGGAAAACATTCAGTTATCAGACAAGGGGTGATTTTAATTTATTTTGTATTTATTAACAATAATGTACATGCATTCGTCATTCTTTTATAATGATTAGTGAGAACAACAATAAGTAAAAAGAAAAGTTTTAGGGCAAAGTTTCGTTTTTTTATACTTTATTTTGAAAATTACGTAATACCAACCAAGTAATTTCTAAAATAACGTCTTAATTCTTAATCGACGATATCCAACAGCAATTTTCTTGGTTCTGAAGTTCATCAGAAAATGGTGTGATTTTCTCTTAAAGTTTTATTTGTACAAATTCATTAATTTGAACTGATTTTTAAAGTTTAGCTCTGTCATAATTTTATATAAAGCCTGACTTTCTAAGGAATTGCAATTCATTGATGTGGAAATTTTCGAGTAGAAAAAGTAATCTTTTCAAATTCATTGACTTTCTAAATATATTCGATAAGTTGGTTAATTATAGTACGAAGTACGAACCAAGAATATACAATACATATACGTAAGTGGGTAATGTTTCTTTTATCAAATATATGTAACTTTGACCTCTGTTGTATACGCTTGTTAAAAATAAATTAAAAATTCAAATAATTTGTTGTCCCATATTGTTTGCATGAATAAATTTTCTTGAATACTAACGTAACCTCTTAATCTCATTTGATTTCACTAAATACGTGAGATTATATTTATGTTATATTGCATTAGGTTCCTAAATTGTGTATTATATACAATATATTATCGTTAGCGTACTTAGGAAAAGGTTAACACAGCATCCGTTGTCTGCTTTCGCAAAATTTCCAAACATGAATATAAAACGACCAATGGAATATTATTAATCGCGTATAACTATTAGTAATTATTCTTCTAAAAAAGAATTTTCAAAATCCTTCTCAACAAAAGGAATCGCAAATGAACGAAGAAAATAGATTTTCTTGTATATGGTACATATCAAAGATGGGCCGTTAGCCGGGTACAGGATAATGACGCCCTGAACCCAACAGTGACCAATTCAACCAGAGAAAAATTTAAGATTGTATTGGGATAGGTCGTTTGACCTAATTTGTATTATTTATTGTCTACCATAATTCTTATATTTACTTTTTCTTCACGGAGAAAACTAAATTTTTATGACAATGCAAAAATTACAATTTTTATTGTATTTTATTTTTACAAATTCGGGTACAAATTGCAACTTTTATTATTTTCGCTTATATCTTGAAGCATCACCTGTTTCTCTAAAAATTATCTCAAACTAACCGAACTTTCATTAGGTTCATGATCATGTTGTTCGTATATATGAAGAAATCAAACACCACAAAACCCCGTGAAATTGGTTTAGCGTTAAGCAAATCCGTTGCGCGGTGTTAAGAAATCAATATTGGAAGAAACCTCACTTGATCGCAACGATAGTTGTATAACAATAACTATTTCATAAATAGCAAATACGTGCTATATTTCGAAGTAATACAATGTATAAATCATAATGTCAACCACTAGTTGTGATTTTATCGTAATATTTCCTCAACTGAATCGAAAACACACTTTATGAGCTAACAAAACATTAATAGCTCTACCATTATCCCCGAACATACATATGCATATGTATACAGGGTGAATGTTTTAACGTCTATGGCAAACCTAGACGAATGGCGTATTTTATTTCATTATAGAGAGACTTATTTTGCTGCAAAGAATATAAAAAACAGCAAATGAAATTTTTAATGCCTAACACTACAGCAAAATTATGCGCAAAAAACAAGAAAGCTACAAAATTTATACAAATTTATTGTAAACAAAACAAGAAAAATAGTTGTACTGCATCTTGTCACATACGTGCTTACAGCTTTACGGAAAGCAACTGTTTAACTTGGCAGAAAATAAGAGACGTTAGTGTTAATTATTCCGTGCCGCCTCTGATCTTGGTAATTGCTTGAACATGATCCAACGGCAACAAAATAATTACAGTGAATCCGGTCTTCTACAACTAAACATGATGATAAACAATAACTGAAACATTACACCTACACATTGAATAATAAATCTGCTAATAATATAGCTCTGCTACATTCATGTTTACAACCACTGATTACATTACTTTTTATTAGTACTTCGGATGAGATTCGACTTGGACTATATGGAGTAATTAAATAGGAGAGCACTACCTCCTTAGCATTATTTGAGTTATTATAACTTTATAAAGTCATAATACCTAAAGATGCCTATGCACGGAGAAAATGAAAGAGGAAAATTTACCTATATATTAGAGCGATATGTACAATTTATCCCACTATCCCATTACTTCGTAAACGAAAGTAATAAAAATTATAATTTGGACCGGAATTTTGTAAAATTAAAATCCCAGCAGAAATAAATTTACTAGGTATTTTAGTNACAACAACAACCACGACCAACCGACCTACAAGGTTAACGATCCGTCGAACTAATGTAACTATATACTGAATATACTATGATTAAACATACATATAATTTAGATATCTTTTAGAAGTGAGTTAGTTTAATATGAAATATTATTCTGAAAATTCATTTCTGAATTTTTTACCCACTACACGCTACCTCAAATTAATGAGGGAAAAATTGTTGCTGTTGTCACACCCCCGCCGGGAATCGAACCCGGGACCTTTGGCTTTACGCACCAATGTTCTGAACAATTTTTCCCTCATTAATATGAGGTAGCGTGTAGTGGGTAAAAAATTCAAAAATGAATTTTCAGATTAATATTTCATAAATCCTACTGTTTCTGCGGCAAATTCAGTCATTTACATTCGAAAATTGTAATTTTTATGACTGAATTTTCCATAGAAATAGTAAAATTTAATAGGTAACTTTTAATAATCTCAATTTTGACTTTTTTTTAAATTTTTTTTTAAGTTTCTTAATTGTTACAATTTAGTAAATGTAGTTTTGCTGGAATTCGGGTCCAAATTGTAATCTTTATTTCCGCTTACGAAGCAACGGGTTAGTGGGATAAATTGTAAATATCGGTTTAGTATTTAGATAAATTTTCCTCTTTCATTTTTTCCGTGTAGGTTGTAGGCAAAACAGATAAAACTTCTGGAATAGCACGGATTTGTATGCGTGTAAAACGGTAAACGGCAGATTTCACGAAAACGAAGCGTTTAAGGTATGCCGTTACAGGCAGATATTAAAAATAAAAGAAATAAGAGGAATAAGTTGATAGAGCACCTTCTCAAACATGAAAGGCTATTTAGAGACATATTAAAAGCAGAAACGGGAGTTTAGAGGGGTCGATTAGATTACGGTGTGCAAACTGTGACCAACTTTCGGACTGATGGCCCTATACTGATAGTCAAGATGAATACTAGCATATACGCCTTTTTTATCTTTTTGTCAACGTTATGAATAAACGTGTAACAAATAAACTAATTGCTGATTAAATTGATATATCTAATTCAGGTAATAGATACTGCTCAAAAATATTTTGAATGACAATGGGCACAATCCCATTTGCATTAATTTCTTTTCTGTTCTTTTTTGAGTGTGGAAATAAATAATTGTACGAACATTCGCGGTTTAATCGGACTGCGTATGCGCAACGATTTGTTGACGACATGTCGCGGCGTTGGTTGGGTTGGAGTAGGTGTATAGTGCCCTTTTTCCGTCAATGTGTTCGTTGACGGAATCGCGTAGCAGGCTTGCGTAAAAGTGCCGATCAATAGGCACCACGAAGTAGCAGCTCTGCTACGTTGTTGTAGCCGTGGAAGCAGCAGCGATCGCTGCAACAGCAGTCGTAGCCGCTGTTGTCGTACGAATATGTAGAACTGGGTCACGCCCAAGTATCCAGGCCGACACAGATACCCATCTGCTTGCTGGTGCGGGCCATCCGCCAACCGTCAGTAGTACAAAATCCACATTTATATACCAACGGATTCACAGAAACAGACACTGATACAACTGTCAATCGGCATATCCGTTATCTATTACTATTTTGGGAGTTATGTTTACGACTGTTTTGAACTAGCGTGTCGGGAAGAAAGAACGCATACTTACTGATATTAATTTTTCATTAAGAGAATTAAGTACTACAAACAACAACAAACTTCAAACGGCTAATGGATTATAAGCTTTTGGCGATAATAAAGACAATCCCATAAACCACACCGAAAATATTATTTAATAAATTAGATTCCCTACGGATTACTGCATGAAAACGTGACATACTGACTCATTTTTGTGGTCTAATATTGCACGAGCACTTTTGCATAAAGATGCGCCCCGTTTTTAAAAAATCTACACATATTTATAATGCATAAAGATCCGCCTTCTTCCGTTTTCGTTATCATGACCGACCGATTTGGAAATGATTGATTACACTGATTATTCTTTAATCGGGGCAAAGGGGAGTTAGACGGATAGCGAATGCGTAATCAGAGCGTCTTTGACGTCACAAAAACCGAGACAAGCGTCAGAAAGCGCCATTTTGGATTTGCTTTGTTG